ATAATTAGATGATGTTCGTTCTAAGTTCCTGACGATGATGATGTCAATGGATGCATGAGTGACCTTTTGTGTTGCGTTCAATATGTGGAACGTTATTTGACCTTCATTAATTTTGTTGTGTTATGTTATGCATTTTTTTGTTATAATTATTTAATTAAATATGCTAGTGTTTTTTTTTGTCAGTGTTATATTTAGAAGTTAGTCATCACATATTCAATCATATATATTTTATTTGAGAGAAATAAAAAAAACTTTTATTAATAGTAAAGATAGGTTTAAATTTGTCAGCATTTAAAAAAGATTTTCTTCATTTTTATAATTATTTTTATTTATTTCTGTCTCCGGAAGTTGATTTATCCGCTAGACATGCATGTGTTATGATTGTTTTATTACATCATGCCAATTATGCCAACCAATCATGAAAGTGAGCTAACCACTTATTGTTGATAACCTTGAACCATATTATTTCCTTCAAACACATCATGATTATCGTCTAAACAGCTGAAGCTCCATTTAACGCCCCCACCTCAAAGTGGGTTTTTCAAAACATGCGTCACATATTGTGGTGGGTGATTGTAAACAACAACAATCTTATTTGGATGGTAATTGTTTTGGCTTGTCTAAAAGATTTGTGTTAACTGATAAATTAGACGGTGTTATTGGGCTCGTTTTCCGCTAAGTAAAACAAAGTTTTCATACAACTACTTTGCTAATTTGTTTTGACACTGGTAAAGATAGGCAACAAAAACTATTTCTCCTCAGCGTTTATAGTAAAACTTTGCTAATTAGGGGTAATTTCAGTGCCGGAAGTATTAAAATATTATTGAGTTTATTTGAATTAATTTGAATATTGCATAATTTAATTATGCACCTTCAATGAGGTTTAGTGGATAATTTCTATATTTTTAATTTGAACAAAATTTTAATTTTTTCTGTAAATGACCCATTGTTGGCTTTTTTGTTCACACATAACTCATGGCTGTATTTTTTTCTTTTTTTTTTTTTGTAATTTTTATTGTCATTGTCATTCTATTCTCCTTCTCGCACTTTGACAACTAAACAATCGATTATAATTGCGCGCGAGGTAGTAGTTATAACTACTTATAAAACGTCTGGTGTAAATTGTTCGTAACATATTGTTTGTAAATATTTATTTTTGTTTTTCTATTTTTATTTTTTTGCCATAATTTCAAAAGTAAATATTATTCTCATTGAAGATAAGCACGGAGAGTAGTATGATCCATATTTTTGTTTTTATCTTTTGTTGGATTCAAGAGCACACACACGAATATTTTACTCATTTATTGAGCAGGTTACGGACTTTTTATATTATCTCAATATCCGGTTCAAAAAAATAGAAGCCCGGCTTTTTCCTCGAAATTTATTATTACTTTTTTTTTTAAATAATTCAGACGAATCCGACAGTTCTACTTAATATGTACATATATAGTTTTAGTGACAATATTCTAAAATATTGTGAGCAAAATTTTTTAGAATATTCCAATTCCTCATTCGATTTTACTGAAGAAATGTAATCAAAAAAAAATACATACAATAGTTTCAAATCAAGATATGAAGCTATCTCTAATGTATATAGTAGGATCGATAGCAATAAAATAATCACGTCATATCTCCGAACTTTGACCTACAGCTAATTTTTTCCTTCTTGGGTTTTCATATGCTTACCATGTATACGAATGCTTCAACAGCATCTTCTAGTGATGAGAGTCATGGACCACGCATTTTTTCATTAAGGCTTTGACTGGTTATTATAATGAAATAGAGCACTTCCGTGCCAGTAATTACGATTGCACCATTAATTAATCATTTACATCAATAGCTCTCTTCAAAAAAAGCGTTGAAGTTGACAAATTTCAAAGGTCATGACTTTTCGTAATTGGTTTTGCTTATTATTTTCGTAAGGGAGAAATTTAAGTCCCCTATCTTTAAAAATATTTTTCTGATTATTTCCATTTCGCTCTTTCCCCCTATATATCACCATAATCCATACAAGAAATTCTTTGAATATTTTCCCATCCGTTTTTTTTTTCAATGAAATTTCTTATCATTTTGTTTTCATTATTTATTTAAATTTATCGTACACAATGTGTACACGTTTGGTATGCAACCCATCTACATATATAAATATTTGTTACGATGATGATGACACTATCGTTTGGCCGACCGACCGGCCGGCAAATCGATAACAAAATGTTGAATTTTGCAACAAATGACTGTGTTCGAACATAACTTGCGTGTGTGTTTACGTTCACTGAGTAGACTACACCGATGACGATGTTGCCACAAACCGCAATAAAATATTTTAAGCGTTTTAAACGCCACGAAATATTACTCAGCAAACAGTTTAGTAATCTACAGCTTTTTTTTTTTAATGAAATTTCTTACCATTTTGTTTTCAAAAATTTTTTGATTTAATTCGAATTTACACTAGTTCAAAAGTTTCAAGTGAAAATCTCAAGAACTCTTGAAGATATAGCCGATTTATTGTGTCAGCATCAAGTGACGGCTAAAGGGCTTCTCAAACTTTAAACGCGGGCATGTTCCAGTGAGGAGTTATCATGCCCGCCATCAAAAATAAGGACTTTTCTTTAATTACAAAAAACAAGAACAAGACAACAACAAACATTTTTTGTAAATTATTTTTCTTCCTTTTTAAATCTTCAAATATATATGTGCAAAGTTACAAACCTTAACAAGCATTGGTATTCATTTACCAGCCCATTTAAAACCTTAAAAATAAAAAATTGAAAATGGGGGGTTCCCTTAAATAGAAATTTTTAATATTTATTTATATCTCACTTTTTTCTGCACTCAATTGAAAACAGAAATTATGTGGCTATACAAAGAAAAGTAAAATCAGGGACAAAAAATGATTTTTTTGTGTTTTTGTTTTACTTTTATTGACATTGACTTTTGATCAACTTTATTTATTGCAAAAATTGATCTTTATTCATTATTTTTATTTATATATACAGCTTATCAAATTGGTTTATATGGTTAAAAAATTAATCATAAATAACATTGTAAACCAATAACAATAATAATTTCCAACAAATAATAATAAAAACATATTTTTTGCGGTTTTCAAAATAGCTGACGCACAATTTTTATGGAGAAAAAACTTCTCGATTTTTTATTTTATTTTTTTTTTTTATAAATTTATATATTTAAAATTAAAAATAGTAATGAAATTTATTTCATTTTTTTTTATTATTTTTTATAATTTCATTTATTGAAAATTAAAAATAATATTGAAATATATTTAAATAGGACATGTCGTTTGTGTAATGTCATAAATCAGCTGGGGAGGGGAATGTGTATGAGTGCATGAATTTTATGCCATATTGTTTCCACTCTCTCCCTATTGGAATTCAGTCACATATTTTCATGATGATGAAGATCAAATTATTTATTACAAACATCTACTCGTAGATGGGTGACGTATGTGCTATGTGACTTTTGAACCGTAATGATGCTCAATTAGTCATTAAGTGTTTGTATTTTTTGTTTACACAATTATTTCTTTCAGTTGACACAAATTGTTCCACATTAATTCGTAATAGGCTTTGCCATCATGAGAAATGCAAAGCCATTGGCGAAAATACTTGCATGGCCAGGATTTCACTTTTGTGTACTAATTATTAATGCAAAATACAGTGAAACATTTTTATATTGAACTTCACAAAAAATTGCCATTATGGAAATATTTCTCATCAAAAATAGTCTCATTGATTTTCAAAGCGGAACCAACTGTCAAAGCACTTTTTTCACTAAAATTTTTACACCTTCAAAACATAGACTTTTTACGCTTTGACAGCATCTTGAGCTATGAAAATCTTTAATCACTCATTGCGATTGACTCATCAATTAATTTCTTTGATCTGTGAAAAATTCTCTGGTTTGAACTGATGTCCCTATATCATTCTACTACATCCTCTTCGAACGAGAGACGATCACCATTAAATCTCTGGGTTTCACAGTGCTATAGGATGGTGATTCAAAGTGAACGCACTGTAAACAACACAACACATGGTGAACGTACTGAGTACGATTAAGCTTATTCCAAAATTCTTTGAAAATAAAATTAATCTTTTTTGCATTCCCAATATACCCCATTTCGGATATTTTAAATGTTTTTTTCTTAGAATACAGTTTGCTGACTCATTTATCTACTGTTCGCTCTTAGCCATCATTCGTGATGCATCATGACGGTATTATTTCATTGTTTGTTAACTGTCAAGTCAATAAAATCAAACATTTTGCAAATTTAACCAAAATTTGTTCAAGTTCATGGAAATGTCAATTCAATTTTTTCTTTTACGATGGCAGATTAATAATTATGGGATTTCATTGGATTTTTGGGATAAAGTATTTTTTTTAGAAAAAAAAATAAATAAAATACAATTTCAGCCTAAGTAGGCCTTCAAAGTTGTTCCCTTTAGCTGAAAATATGTCAACGATACCTATGAATTTTCATGATCCCAATGGGGGTATTTTATGAGAAAAATATTGCATTTCTCAAAACTACAAAATATTCTGAAAAAAATCACGTCATTATTGATCTGCCAGCTCTATTTTATTATGTCATGGTCAAAGAAAATCATAAACATGATTTCATTTGTTCCAATAAAATAACTACAAAATTCGTTTATTTCATTAAAGAAAATTGAGGGGTTCTCTAAAAATCAAATTGATTAATTTACGTTCATTACCAAAATGTTGTTTTTTCGGGGTCGCTGTTAATAAACGAAATTTAAAAAAAAAATGAAGATTTATGTTTCTTCTGGGAAATTGGGTGGTGGTGACGGGGTCACCACATAGGATGACATACTGCCATAGATCTAGATTGCATGTTTTTTTCTTTCGTTAAATTAATTTTGCAATGATTTTTGTTTATTAATCAACATAAATTGAACATGAAATGCTTTAATGAAATATTTTTCTTCTTTCTTTTCTTTCCATTTTTTCCCTGCTTCTAGATGAACGCGATGCCATTCAAAAGAAGACATTCACAAAATGGGTCAATAAACATCTCAAAAAGGTAATGTAAAAAATATTATTGCGAAAATCAAATTTCTTTTTTAGACAGACAAAGTCCTCAGTCTCTGAGGAAGCCACGAAGGAGATCGGTAATAATTATTATAAGGTGGTGGTGGTACTGGCACCCCATCATCTTCACAATAATTGTGGTTGTCATCTCATCATCAAAATCATGGTCATAATTGTGAAAACATACTTTATTCAGCAGATATCACCAAGCTCTTTACAAATGCCAGCTAGACAAAGAAGGAAACAAAGGAAAGGCAATTTTCTTGCCGGCCAAGAGAAGTGCGATAAAGAAATGGTTGCAAGATTATTAGGGCCTTAGTTGGAATTGTTGTTAGACTTTCACTATCACACCACCGCCATCACCAACAATGTCTGTTGTCTATGGTGTTGGTGTAAAGTACGACTGTCTGCCCGTTTGTCTGTCATGTCATTGAGCATTTTGTTTCCTTTAAAAGAAATGCTAAACAATGACACAAACAACGAACCCAACTTTTACTATTACAAAAAAAAATCACACTTAGTATTGTAGAGCACCTGATAAAAAGAAAGTCATGTTTATTTCATTTTCATCTCATATTTTTCTTCTCATCTCTCGTCTTCTTCTTCTTCTTCTTTTTTTCTCAAAACATTCTTTTTCATGCAGCATTGGAAATATGCAAAGGTATTGTTGTTATTTACTGTCTGTCTGTTTTTTCTGATTAACAATATATAACGCCATGTTGAAGGGAAAAGGGCAGCAAGTCCACTTTTTTATTAGAATTCGATTAAGAAAATTTAAATTCGATCAAAATTAAGACGTAGCAACAAAATCAATGGCCCTGGAAATGGATGTTGAAGGGAAGGGACTAACCAACGTTTCATCGGATAATCAATGGCCCTAGAAATGGATATGGAGTATTCAATATGATATGTTTAAAAATCCAAAGCCATATCAACACAATTTCAAGAGGTATTTTGAATGACGCTGGAATTGGTGAATAAAAAACCCTGGAAATGGAAACAGTGAAACAGCAATTACAATTCGTGTCTGAAAATTTTTAATAAGTGGACTTGGCAATTTTTTAACTTCTAGCAGGCGTTATGTGTTATTTTAATGTCAGATGTCTTTTTTGAGTTCTTATTTTATTGGTTATCTGTTTTTAATTATTTATTTTGATCAAACACATCTAATCGAAATTTAAATAAAAACCAACATCAATTCACCCTTAAAATTCCAGACATACACAATGTTACATGTTTGTGTGTACACAAATGGGGTACCCTGTTGTCCACTGTCGGCCGTAAGTTTCTTTTCTCCCTCATATCCAGGCTAGTCTGTAATGGCTGCTAATATATTTTTTTCAAATTATTGTTTTTGTTTTTTATAATTTAATATTTTTTAGTTAAATTGAGTAGCTAATTCCGATTTTGCACTGCAAACGCTATTTTGTTGTTTATCGTAATTTTTTATTTTAATTTATGAATCAATTCTCTAAAAAATCAGCAAATCGCCCGCCTGGAACTTTTAGCGGCTTATTTTTTTAATAACCTTGACCTGATTTAGCTACGTTTTTACTGTTCAAGCACGGCTTAGAAATTCTTCCGCAATCAGCACCGTTTTTATAAAAATAAAATCTATTTTTTCAAACCTTTTATAGCCACCTGAGCACTCTTAGACCAAATTTTGTGTTGAGTAATATTGCAAGAATATATTTGGCATTTAAATCAGTTAAATTCTTGAAACCCTCTCACAAACCCTCTCAATCCAAAAATGTCATATATATATATATATATATATATACACACCACGATTTGTACACTTCTTGAATGCTCTCTAACCAATTGTCGAAACATAAATTTCACTCCGATTGAGGTGCCTCCAAAACATGGAGTTTGAACTCTTCAGCAGCATTTTCTGACGATGTGCGGGAATAAAATGAAGTCTGGGCTGTATGGTGGATGATTCCACGTTTTGTGCAATGATTCTACTACTACTTGATTCTAAGGGCTTCTTCCTTGAACCATTTTCATTGGATTTTACACACCGCCCAAAGTCGATTGGTGGGTTTCCGGCTAAAGCAAAGTGACTATCTTTTTTTCAAAATTGTTTTCTAACAAATCGAAAAAAGCTCTTCTCACAATGCTATCCCAATATCAATTCATTCATCCTAATACAAATATTTAAATTTCTTATCGTACTAATCCAAGTCGAAAGTTTTGAAAAATGGTCCAACGAAAATGTTCACGGGTTAATGCATTTAGTTTTTTTGCAGTTTGATTTTTCATGTCACTCTAAACAACACAACACATGCTCGTACGTCAAACCGTTTTGAATACACTTATTCCTTTGTTGTCCACTTAAAATGAGCCGTTTTGGGATAAAGATTGAATACAGCCTAATTTTTTTACGTTAGTTTTTGTACAAAGCAAGAGTTGCATGATATTTTTTTTTTTAATTGAAAATATTGAGAATTTTGCAATTTTCAACATTACTTTTCATGATTATACCAAAAGATACACATTCATTTATTTATTGCTACACATAGACCACTGTGCGCTAAAAAACCTCTATTGCAACTACAATCAAAAACCTAACCCGATATTGAAGATTTTAATATTTTTGTGTTCTTTGGAATTAGAAATCAGGCACCGAAAGATAAAGAGAGGAGGAGAGGCAATCAATAAGCAAATATTCCATCCTACTCCTTTAGTTTGTGAAATAACACTTTTCGTGTTTGATACCTGATTTTTGCTGGCATTTATATTTATGTTTTCATTTTTCCATTCTTGTTTATTTTTTTATTTTGCATGTCATTTTTTGTTAAAAACCTTTCAACTATTTTTCATTATCTTCACATACATACATATGTATTTAATTTTTTTGTTTTCTTGCCTTTTTCCAAAATCCCACAGGCCAATCGACGTGTTGAGGATTTATTTGAAGATTTACGTGATGGACACAATTTACTCTCTCTTCTGGAAGTGCTTTCTGGCGAACACTTGGTAAGTTTTGCAATTCAATTTTCTTGAGTATTTCAATTTTATTTATTTCCCCTTTTTTCTCAATTTTTCTATAGCCCAGAGAAAAGGGTAAAATGCGTTTCCATATGCTGCAAAATGCCCAAATGGCATTGGATTTTCTACGCTACAAAAAAATTAAATTGGTTAACATTAGAGCAGAGGATATTGTCGATGGAAATCCCAAATTGACACTCGGTTTGATCTGGACAATTATTTTACACTTCCAGGTAAGTCCATCAAGAGTAGATTTAGCTAAGAACAAAAAATAAACTCCTTCAAATGTTGTCCCACTGAGTAGCTCTGCGGCAGTTTTCCTTTGACATTTCCATACACCCACAAAAAGTGGAAGTTGTTTGGATTTGGAAATTCTAGTTTAAAACAACATTCATGTTGTTCTCGAAATACAACCTACAAGACTTTCGATTTCTAAATTATTTTGATAATATGTTGGCATTCAATCGCAATAGATACATAGATACCGATTGCTGTGTCGCGTCTAGTTTGATACATAATATCTGGTGTTTATTACAATGCATAGCCATGGATGACGTGTGCTATTCGTTGTTCGTTCCATGGCAACGATTTTGCTGAGTAGAGCAGGAGCACTTATCACTTGCTGATGTTGCTGTTTGATGCCTGCTGCCCACACATTTGTGATGTATTATGCCGCCGCAGACGCCAAAACATACATCCAGCCAGCCAGCCAGTCAACCATCCATCCAACCACTTTAGTAATACAGCCTCCAACTGAAATATGCCTGGCTTTGACGAAACTTAAGATTTTGTTTTCATTGATCTCGCACAAGTCTTGTCAGCAATAATACCAACAACAAATGGAAAAAGTGCTATATCGAGTATCGATTGTTGTCATACAACTAATGCCAAATATGGCAGGTAGGTGGCCCAGCCAGCCAGCCAGCCACACACTCTTCGCACAGCAAACAGAAGTTAACAGAATAAGACGACAGTTAAACGACGACGTTATGCTCTGCTGACATACATATTTGCGTGGATTGCAATGATCGATTGGATTGCCTGTACACTGAAAAAAAACTACGCTCTGACCACCACCGGATATTTTCAACAGCGCGGGATATCTTGTTCTGATCATGCGCCCACTGAATAGTTATGATTTCAATGTGGTTAAATTAGAACAACTTTCAAATTAGACTTGACCAATTGAAAGATTTAAAAAGTTATGAGAAAGTGAAGTAAAAATTGAATTTTAAGATTACGATAGAGGTTGCAAATAATTCTCATACGGGTCAATTTGATGGTATAAGCCTCCGCGAAATTCGCTATGCAGTTGCAAATTCAAAATTGACAAGTCCACTTCTGAAACTCCCTTTTTTGATAAACTTTTGTGAAAAAAGATCCTATTGCTCTTCAATATTAATAACACCTAAAAGTATTCTATAAATTTCAGTATTTAGGATTTTATAAAATTTAGAGTTTCTAGACTGCGAATGCATCCAAAAGTCCTGAAGAAGATTAACAAAAAATTATTAAATTTTATTTGTTGATGCATTTTTTTATGGTAAATGTAATCACCAGCGATTAGTGTATTTGGGGACCTATAGTGAAATTTAGTGTAGAATATTTTTTCCATTGACATCAATCCCCTAATGACATCAATCCCCTGGTGAAAATTGGAAAATGATTGAAATTTGCTGATTTAATTTTAATTCGTTGCTATCCTATTTTGTTTGTTAATATTTTGTTCGGTGACCCCTAGTGACATTTTTGGAAGACCATTTTTTCCATTGACATCAACCCCCTAAAATGATATCTTATGGAAGAAAAAGGAACAAATTGAAAAAAGAAACGAAATTACCCAATTTCGGTTTATTTATTTAATTTTCCATATGTTTGCCAATATTTTAAGTGTATGTGTTATATGTAGAGATGCCTTTTCTTCGGTGGCCTATAGTGAAATTTGATTTAGAATAGTTTTTCCATTCACATCATCCCGCTAAAATTAAGTATAGTGGTGCAAAAGGCATCAAATTAAAAATGATCAATTAACTCTATATATCAATTAACTTTATAATTTTTATGGCACTTATAGTTTTTTTTTCTAAGTGTTGGCGTCTATTGAAATGCGCCTGCGCAACAATACACCTACACAAACTCTTGTGATCACACATTGACTTCTTGACTTGTCTTGTTATTGCCAGACAATTATATCGAGAAACGCACTCGATTGAAATCTCAAGAATTGCATCATACCAACATATATTGTTGTTGCTGCTGCCGCTGTTGCTGCTTATGTTGTTGTTGGCCTTTTTATTTCTTGATAATTTACATATTTTATGTTTGTTTTTCAATTCGTAAAATGTTTTAATGATTTGCAATGATACAAAACGGTGAGGCGGTGGTTGTGTTGGAGAGTGAGGGTAGTGATACTGACTTCAACAACGCCACCGCATTTACCCGACATGATGCCATATGGTTGGCTGCTGTTGGTAACGTGTTGCCATGAAATATGGAAACTTTGTTGAAACTGGAGTTGGAAATGTGTCATCATCAGGCATTTCATCATTGAAATAACAAAAACATCAAAAAAAAAAAAAACAATAATCATCCAGTAACAGGCTTGCCTTCCATTGTCTCAAGGATTTATTACAATTATTAAGACTATAATTGTTGTTAGTTACACATGATCAATGTATGGCGGGCGATCAGTTTGTGTGTTTTAGTCCCCTTCAGTTCCTCCATGTTATATGACAAGGTAGTAGCTAGCTAGCCAGCTGATGGGGAATTACAAACAAGACAGCCGCCACACAACAATTGAATGAATGCATAAATATTGCGGGTGAATTGTTGGCTGATCTTTGATGTCAATGGGCAATGACGGACGGACGTTGTTGGCAACAAGATTGTGATCATATTTTAACGCCGCCACCGCTGTCACATACGTGAGACACAACGATGATGTCATTGTATCAATTGTTTGTTTGTTGTGCTGTAGATATGTATGGTTTGTATAAACTGCAAAATTTATGATTATTCGACTTCAATTAATTTTTTGTTTTCTTTTGTTTTGTGCGGTGTGTGTGTGTGTGTCTGCTGCATTGTCTCCAATCTCCACTTCAATTTAAATTATAACAACAAATTACCCATTAAAATCACTTTTTGTGTGTGCTACACAACAAAAGTGTCATCCGTTATTGTTGATGACAGCAGCAGTAACAGTCAGTTAGTCGTTGAAGGAAAGGACAACACTGCTCTTGATTGTTTTGTTTTAATGGTGGAATTGAGTATTTCAAAACCTTGGTTATTGTATTTTGTGTTTTTTTTCATTTTGTTTCACAATTCCCAATATGGTATTGCAATGTAAAACCCAACACTGGACCTCAATCACCACTGACCCACATTCAATAGTTGTGAAAATATTTAGGGAATTTTGATTTCAACAGAGTTTAATTTAGTAATTAAATTGAAGGAGAGAGAGAGAATAAGTACATTAATTTCTCAATCAATGAAGGATTTCATTTAAGGTTTCATCAATTTTAAGGCAGTGCAAAAAAAGTTTGGCTGTTAATTCTTGTAATTAAATAGTTAGTTGAGAAGAAGTGCGATAAAATTACAATATATCCTATTTAAGCTCAGTGGTTTGTGCATACTCCTTTTCATCGTCGAATTCTGACCCGAATTTATCTATAAGACAAAACTTATTGTTTCCTATGCCTGAAAGTAGCTATCTATAAAAACAAATTTGATTACAATTTAAATTTGTAAATCGTCGACTAAATAGATAATATATATTTTTGGATAACCTGATCCACAACTTTGTTTAGCCCCTCTGACATTACACATTCTTTAACGAATTTAATGTAATTTAATCATTAGGATTTTAGGGGAAATGGAAATTGGTTGCAAATACCGATACCGGTATTATGCGCTTCAAATGATGACTTTGTCAGTAGTAACCATAGACTGGCTTCTACATTTGCGGAAAATCTTGAGCAAAAAATTCTCCCAGATTTGGTTAGATTTTAATTTTAATTATATATGTATGTGTGCTTTTTGTGATTCTAATACTTTTGACTGTCTTTCATTTCATTAGTGTCGTTGAGAATTTGAAAAAAAAAAACAAACTTTCAAGGGCAAATAATTACGAAAATTGCTACATTGTCTGGTCCCCACCCCTGTAATATTGTGAGTTGGATTGAAAAAAAATCACAATTAATATTCTGAAAAGGTCGCCAGCCAGTACAAAAAAAAATTATAATTGCATGTTATTGTTTTCTAATTGTAAGCAATTTATTCTCAAAATGATTTAGTATTGTGGCTTTTGGCGGCTTCGCGTCACACTCACAAAAAAAAAACATGACTTGATTTATACAAGTTTTATGGTTAAACGTTTATCTTCCACTGGCAATTAATATCAGACCAATAGTAAAGACGACTGGCGATATGAAAAGTCATTGTTATTGACATTTGTGTGTGTTTGTGATTTTCGTTTTTCAAATTTTTTGTAAACTTTAAAATCGTTTTTTACCTCCTCGATTTCACACAATGTTATTATTTTTGGTGGGGTTCTGTCAGCCAAGCTGAAGCTGATTAAAATTCCTTAACAACAGAAAAAAATATCTAAAGTAGCTGTACCCTCCCTTGTCTGACTCTCAAATTACATTTGTGCCAATCGTTTGTTGTCGTCTAGTTCGTTGGTTGGTAGTCGTCATTGTTTTATTTATTTCTGATTGATAACTTCAGGTGTTGCTGCTTGATGATGGTGACTACTGAATCTGATAGTTTGTTTTAGTTTTTTTTCTTTGTTGTATTTTTATCATATTTTTTGTTTTTGATTGCTACAAAAACAATACCAGAAAAATATTATTTTTGGGATTGTTTTGGAAAGGGCTTTTATTGTCTATGTACATACATATGTACATATATCTGAAAACCTTCAATTGAATCATTTTTTGTTATTCTGCCCATTCGAGTGATATTGGGATCTTGAATTGTTTATCTTTAACAAGAAAAAAACAGCAAATCACAATAACAACAACAAAATGACAAAAACTTGAAACTAAAACTCACCGTTGTCGTTATGACATCATCGTCGTTTTGCCATGTTTTAAGCCAAGAACAAAAACAGCAAGAAAAAAACCCAAAACAAAAAACACGTCTAATACATTGGCTAACTAAACAGAAAACCAAAGCAAAAATATTAGAAATAAAGTTAACAGAAAAAGAAAACAACAACTATTGCTAAGACTGA